TTTCTGAAAAAACATAATTTTTTTTTTACATATTTCAATTCTACGACTCAAATTATGCTAAATATTAAATTTTGTAAAATTGTGTGAAATTTACGGAGAAATTCAACAATTTATGTTGGCGCTTTTTATTAATATTGCGCCAAAATTAGTTCACTTGGCAAACTTCTTATGTGGCAACCTATTTTCATTTCCATTTTTACATAATGTGTGAGAGGGAAAAAAGACACAATCGTTCCTTCTTTCAAATGATATTCTTTATATTATATTTTTAATTATAATTGCTATTAATTTTAAGCAATTTTTTCTTTTTCAAATTTCATTTTAATCGTTTACGTTGCATAGTTTCTTCCGAATAACTGTTTAAAAAATTTCTGTTTACTCATTCGAAATGCGTGGTTAAATAAACGTGCATCCTTTACTTTTTTTTTCAAATAGTTTTCTTTATAATATATTTTTTTAGTTATTATTTTAGGTAATTTTTAAATTTTTAGACTATTATTTTAATTGTTTGTGTTGCATTGTCTCTTCAGATAATTGTTTTAAAATTTTCTATTTATTCATTTGAACTGAGCATTTTAAACATAATTATTAAAATAAATTTTCCGGAATTTGGTTTTATTTATTTGAATTGCGTTTCTTTTGAAAGAATAGTTTGTGACCCCGGACTACGATGCATTTGAGAACTGCATATATTAAAAGAGTTAAACACGTTACATAACAAAAGCAGTTAAACACGCTTTTGAATGTTCCGTTCAGAAAAGATATATAAATAAGAGAGATGTATAATCGACATTTTAACTTAGGATCACTTGCATACATTGCTTTAAACAGTTTTATTATTGTGCCTATTGCTTTACACAACACAATATTATCAACCTACATTTAGTTTCTTAAAATGTTATTCATATTTTAGTCAAATATTTTATTTTTGAAATGGCAAGAATCAAATATCATAAGATTAAAATGCTCTTTTTCTTCAGGTATTCTGCAAGTATATTAAAAAGCATCCAACTTTTCGAAACATCTTGGTATTTCTAACAATCATTTTAAATAAAGATATCGCCTTCCATTTCATAAAGGCCCACAAACAGTGGCGCAGTAAAGTCGCTGAACACTGGTAGTTCACTCCGGGGTTTGAATCCCAGCAAACGGACTAGTTGTATGGGCGTTTTCGTGTTTTTTCTCATGTGTAATGTGTATGCCAGCTGGTTTCCCTTAGAAAGTTCTTCACGAAGGCATCCTTCCTTTTAGGCAGATAGCCCTGCTATGCCGTAAATTAATAATCCAATTCAAGCCATTTGATCAGTATTTAGAGGCTAAGCATTTTGAAAGTATAAGATGAAAGGAAAGATTAGTTTCATCAAGAGATTTTAGTTTATTTAATTATGGCAAAGCACACTAAGGCTATCTGCCTAAGCAAAGGGATGCCTTTGTGGAGGATTTTCTAAGGGAAAAGTATAAAATATGCCCGATTGTATACACATTACACGTGGGGTCATTTTGTTATTCATGATTTAATTCAAGTCCCCGTAAAACATTTTTAATAATTTACATTCAAGTTACTTTAAAACACAATTTTCGGAATTAAACTTCCCACATATGGGTTCACTCATTTTTGATACTCCTACTAAATTTATATTAGGAGATAATATAATCAATATTTCTTTAGTAAATAAATTATTATTATCTTACTTTGCAGCTATTGCGCAAGTATTAGAAACATTTGTTTTCGAATTAAGTGAATTTAAGATCATACAACATGTATATATATATATGTAAACATATACACATGGGTTACAGATTATTTTTTTAATATAAAAGAAGTAATAGATGTTACAAAAAAAATTGATCATATAGCAAATTATTTATATTATTTAGCATTTATTATGAAATGGAAAAAATGGCATTAGTTATTTCTAAGAAACAGTACAGCTTCAGCAAGATCTTCTTTGTGGGAGGGCCATAGATTCGATTTGATAAACTTCAGAGCTGAGAAGAGTCTTTCCATACTAACTTGAATAGGAGGAATAACTATTACTGTTAGGGCTACTTTTTTTTAACTTTTCAGGATAGATTTTTATCAGTTCTAAAAGAGGTATCTTGCAAGCGCATTCATATTTCTCTATTTCTTCAAAGGCAGTGCAGAAATCTTTTTTTTTTTTTTTTTTTATTTTTTATTTTTACATCTAAAGGCTCTTCGTTCTTAATTTTCATTCACTTTGCCTTAGCATTTTCAATATCCAAAAATATTTCTCAAAATCTAATTTATCACTGGATAGAGACTCAATTGCAATGTCTGCAGTTTGGCTGTCCTGATTCAAAGTCTCCAATTGTTCTGAGAATAATATAATTTTAATAAAAGTTCATAGATAGATTTCTTTGTTTTTTTAATTTGTTCGTCATCCAAGAAAATTCAGTGTTTTGGATCTACATATATTGACCCAGCAGGATCTCATTGTCTATCAAACTAGTTTCTCTTTTCTTCATTGAAGAACTGATTCCTTTTGCAATAAATCCTCGATTTCAGAAAGAACAAACATTACATTATTTCATTCTCACCTCCTGTCAATCTTCAGATTGCAGTTTTTTTGTGGCTATACACGGTGTAGAAAAAAGAGTTTCCAATTCTGCAAGATCATTCCACAGTTTTTCTGTTAATGAAACATTAGGATTATCTACATTTTCTAAAAAAGTTCTTAATTCTAACAACCTCTTTATCATCAAATAAGTATTTCCTTATTGCTTTGCTTGATCAATAATTGTAATAATTGCTCTTTTTCTTGCTTGCTTCCAAAGAATGGGATCAACTTTGGCAGTTCTTGCTGCTATTGCTGCTTACCTAAATTTACCAGTGAGATTTGTAACTAAATGAATAAGTTTAATCACTAATGGCAAATATCACATCCATCCTCCTTCCTTATATTTATTTATTAAATGTCAAATAAAATAGAAATAATTATTTATTAATATATAGTCATAAATAAAAATAACTCAGCTTGTCATTAATTTTTTTCCAATTCATTTAAATTTCATTTCAAATTCAAACTGTCCAAAAAAAAAAAAAAAAAAAAAAAAGGAGTCGGAGTCAACCTGTTTTTAGCAACTTCAGCTATGACTCCTTTTACCCCAAAATCTGCCCGACTCCGATTCCGACTCCACAGCCCCGATAGGAACACAACCATATTGTATTTATATGTAAGTTTACTATATAAATTTGTATGTATATATACATTCTAATAAATTTAGAATTCTGTTATGATATTTGAAACTTTGTGGATCAAAATGGGATCTCAAATACACACTCATGTCCATAAATTAAGGATAATTCGGAGTCACACGGAAATCGAACTCTAAAATAATATATTACCGTAAAATCACTACACACATCTTCAAAATCATGCAAATTTCAGGAAGTAACCAGATGACACCGATGGTACATCACAATGACGAGAGTGTAAGAGAGTGATATATAAGGAATACAGGCAAAGAAGTAAAATTCTTCGCAGGCACTTTATAAGCATTTCAGTTATGACACAAACGACGCCTTTGGATGATTTTTTACGTGGTAGAATTATCGGCCGTCTGGAATGTGGGCGTACCTAACTGGAAGTATAAGATGAACTTAGAATTGCCCAGAGTGTCATCCCCAGGCTTTGGCAACAATTCCAAGATGATGGTAATGTGAGTAGACATTACAGTACGGGTCGCCACAGAGTTACAACGCCGAATGAGGACCGGTATTTGGCAGTTACTGCCAAAAGAACAGGCGGAGCACAGCTCAGACCTTCTCGCCAGCTCCTCTTCCGCCACTAGTATGAAGTTTCAGGCAGACCGTTTACAGACATTAGGGCAAATCGGTCTATATTTCGTAGACCTGTCAGATGCATTCCACTTACTGCAACTCCTGTCGCCTGCGGTTAGCCTGGGTAGAGAGCAGCATTGTGGACACCGCAACGTGGTCTTGTGTGATGTTTTTCCCGAGTCCAGGTTTAGCTTGCAGTCTGATTCTTGCCAGACTTTCATATGGAGAGCTCCAAGTACCCGTTACCACCAAGAAAACATCATTGAATGGCACCTCCTGTCACGTTACGGTGGTGCAGGAGTGCTAATTTGGGGTGGAATTATTCTGGGTTTCAGAACGGACCTGCATGTTCAAATTGGAACCATGACAAGCCAAATCTATTTGGACGTCATTCTGGAACAACATGTACGTTTGTTTTCGGGCGCCATGGGCGCACAATTTGTGTTTATGGATACAATGCCCGTCCTCACCGTGCAAACATCGTAAGCATGCCTTCAATCGGAGGATATCACCCGTATAAACTGGCCAGCATTCTCACTGGACTTGAATCCAGAAGAGCATGTATGGGACATGCTTGGCCGTCGAGCTGCAGCCCGTCAACCTCCTCCTACATGTCTACCGGATCTTCAGAGAGTATTGCTTTTTGAGTGGTGTAATATACCCCAAGATCAGATCGATAATTTGATACTCAGCATGTCTAGACATTGTACAGACTGTATTGCATCGTCTGAGAGACATACAATGTATTATAACAATCATACCAATCATGTAATATTGGTTTTTTGTAAATAGGGTTTTTTTGTAATTTGCTGCAGGGAGGAAAAAATCGCTATTTTTTTTTAACAATATCAAACATATAGCATTTTTTTTTTTTTTTTTTTTTGCTCTTTACCTTTTGTTTAATAAATAAGCTTTACAAATAAGTCAAATTTGTTTTGCTTCTAACTCTTCCTTTGCCTGATTTTGCATTATCCTTAATTTATGGACATGAGTGTATATAGATAGGTTCAATAACATGTTAATAATATGTTAACTATCATACCTTTAATTATTGATTGATGATAACATGAAAACTATCGAATATATTTTTTTGTAAAATATAATACATAAACTGAACTCAAAATACAAAAAAATGATATTACATTTAATATCAAATTACAGAAAATAGACAGCAATAGGAAAAGCAAAAATAACATACTTTTTAGAGTTTTTACTTTAGGAGTCATTACTTCAGCCTTTACTTCAACATCACTGATGTCATCTTCCCAAAACAAACCTACAGCATGATATATATGTTTTAAATTTCAGAAATTTTTATAGGTTTAAGAAATTGTAAGGGAACTCAAACATTTCAGCAATATAGTTTGCTGCCAAAATTCTGCAACATTATTAAAACTTAACATTTCTCAAGAGACTTTATTATAATCATAACTTTTAAGGATACTTGTGTATCACTCCTTGACAATAATGGGACTAAATGGAATTTGATACCAATACAAAATTTTTAATAGCAACTAAATGTGCTTTCTAATTGACAAAATTTACTCTTCATATAATATGATTAAATCTCAGTGCCATCTTTGTTTATCTGATTTCAGATACAGTATCATGTTACAGCCATTTTTATGCTACTTTTCCACCGACATTATGATTCAGAGTTATTGGAAATAATGCATGGTATCTTTTTTTGGATGACTATAAGTTAAATATTTTAATAATTTTTTTTAACATTTGCGAGAGAAACTAAACTTAAATAGTTTTTTGAAATTCTTTTGCACAATGAAAATATGCTAATGCAATATTGCACAATAGTAAACACTGACCGGTGCAAATTACCAGTCAATAGTATGCTGCTAAGAGCAGGATAATAAGCAAAATATCTTAAAAATTACAGTCCAATCACATAAAGCATTATATTTGATTACTTGCTTGAACTGATTGTATTGATGAAAGAATTTATCCCTTTTGCTTTATCCACATTTTTACACTTTTAGCATTTCAATGCATGGGTAAGCCATTACACTGAGTATACAGTGCTAAGTGACTCGATAATGTGTGTCTACCCTAAAAATTTGCATAATTTTCGGGCCACTCCTTCTTAGTGTTGCATTTTCAATGTCGGGTAGCGTACAAAATTTTCTTTTAGCATCTGACATTTTCACTACTTTTATTTAATCGTGGAAAAGAAAAATGAAGACTGACAGTTATAATAAATGCATTTTACATAAAAGATTTTACTACTTGCAAAAAAAGCCTGAGGCCTGATTTTATAAAGAAAAAATTACATTCATATTAGGATATATTAGCATTACATACTGCAGTGTGTTTCTTTAAAAAATGTACTTCATAGTGACTCTCTCTTCATATATGACTGTAACGTGTGTCATCATGGGATGGGATTAGAGTAAAAGATTAGAGGATTTTAGCAAATTAGAGAATTCAAACTTTTTATACAACAGCCATTACCATGGTTACAATATAAGCCAGAAGGAAAAAAATAACCTAGGATTGCCTATTCTAATGTAACAGACTACAGAAAGAGATCTAATATTGAATAGAAAAATTATTTTAACCTTAAATGGTGCAGTATATACTAGGTTTCTAAAGCACATAAATACTTGAAATAGAATATCTAAACATATACAATATGAAAATTACACAACTCACATTTGAGACACGAAAAAATTTTTATCACTATTTAATATTGAAGTACTAACCCTGATTTTGGATTTTTTGCGCATGCAACATACAACAATAGCAAAGATAAACAAAAATTTAAGGGTAAAATCCTAGTATACGGTGCAGCCTTGGCGCGACTTTGAAAATTATCGCCAACACCAAAATTGATCCAAAGAACGTCTTATACATCAAAATCCGTTAATCGAAACCCATATCCGGGACTAATCTTAACCTCAAGCTAAAATTTCTGCACATGGGCGTTGAGTGTGCACGTTGCGTTGCCGACTGCGATGCGCTTGCTGTGCGCAGTGCAGAATACGTTTTCGCGTGCGTTTAATATAACGGACGGTATAAGCTAAATATCTAATTATCTATTTCAGTTAATGTTGATGTTGCGTAGTTCTTAATCTTCAAATGGATGCGGCTTATTATTTTTGCAACGTAAGAGCATTTTAAAAGTAACTTGAACTTTCGATTATGTCAAATAGAATTCCCGATGCTGGACTCCAAAGGATCTACAAAACGAAAGTATTTCGATGTCCATCAAACAAAAAGTGGAATTGCTGCAAAAAATGGACAAAAATGAAGAGGTGAAAGAGAGGTTAGTGGAATGAAAAAAATTCGATTCACAGTTAGTCGGTATTTCGGCACAGCAATAAGGGACTTGGAACTTTGTAACTGAACAAGAATTATGCTTTTTATAGAATTAAGAAATATTAGCACATAAAGAAGCAACAACAACTTACATTGAAAGAAATGTTTAATAAAGTACAATAAATATTAAGCTTTTTTTTTTTTTTTTTTTTTTTGTAAATTTTGATACCCTTTAGATCATAATTGTTCTTTATTCATAAATTACGTTTTCATATTTTAATTTTATAATTTCTGCATGCCATCTTACAATTTAAACTGATGATCTAT